CTGGGGAATTCTGGGAGTTGAAGTCCACACGTCTTCAAATGGCCAAGGTTGAGAAACACTGCTTTAGACTTTAATTTTTAGACTTTTCCTATCCACAATGAATAGAACAATGAGGTGTTATGAGAAACCTTCAACTATAACAATGCTCACTTTCAGATAGGGAAGGTTACTCTGCTGAATACTTTTCCCATAAATCCATAGTTCTCATAGTCTAGCCAGAGAAGGAAAGGAGAATTATCAGCCTCTGCCTATGAGAATTACAGAAGAAGCCTTTTGTGGGGTGTCACAGGTTCTTTTTTAAAACCGTACCCAATTGGATTGACCCAAACTCAAGAGAGACACAAAAGCATTGGACCTGGACAGGTGGTTCCTTTTATATCTCCCTATAGAAGCAGAACAAAAGGATAATAACGATAAAGACCTCCACAACAAGGACGGTTTGCCACGGATCTTCATAAAGGATTTTGAATTGGTTACAAGTTAGAGACTCCAGTTCTGCCTTGAATTACTTTTCAAAAGCTTTCCCCATTCTGCTCTGGATTCAGGGATCAAGACAGTCTGCCCAAGTTGTGAGCATTGCCTTGATCACAATTGAATTGAAGAATACAGAGCTGGTGCTGAATTTGCTCGGCTTCCGGTGAGATGGCGACGCAGATGCCTGCATGTATGCGAGCCCCACCTGATAAATGTTAATTTTATTTTATAAGCATTGGGAAGGAGCTTAAATGAAGTATACAGCGTTAATATCAGTTGTAGCTTCACTGAGACAAGCCAAGTGTTTGTAGAAGTGTGGTATGCTAATAACAAAGAATGTAAACTAAAAGTGGAATTTATATCTCCCTATAAGGGTTCGGGAGATGTTGTATTTTGTAAAAACTAACATATAAAGTGATATGCGAATGCTTCCTATATGCTACTCTATTACTATCTCTATACAATTACTATGATAATTGCTATTGCAATATACTATTACTCTTCAATTACTATTACTATGACAATGTTTATACTATATACTATTACTATTCAATTACTATTACCTATTACTCTATTGTAATTACCTATATACTATGCTCCATACTATTACTAGTATGCAGCAACGTTTCTTTCTTAAGTCTGTTTTGACTTGTCCCCCCTCTCTGAGATTTCTTCTTCTTTTTCTGTTAATAGCCAGCATGTAGAGCTCTTGCACCTTTTTACATTGTGCTTTGTCTTGCTGGGATTAAAATATCTGTTGCGAAATTAATATATCTTTTCATACTTTTTCATACAGAACACATGCCTTTTCTTCCTGCAGTTCTACTTTCCATTTATACATTCTATTTTCCTAGTAAACAATCAAATTAGTCATGCTTTTCATTTCATTTCTTTTCCTTGTGCATGCATGAATAGGCTTCTGTTTAAACCATGTCCAGGTGGCCCTCATTATTCTTGGGAATGCCATCCCAACATAAAATTGGAGATAATAGAATGGTGAATAATGACAATGTGAGCCTGCTGGAGCCTATTCTTGTCCGCTTCCTCCCATTATAGTTGTCTGTGCAATGTACTTGTACAGTATTTGCTCCTCTTTCTCCTAGCACGATCATGGTGGATGTCACTAAGTCAGCCTGCGCAAGAGTCACCATACTCTATATTCACTGGAGAGAATAATCCTGCTCAAGCCACACTGCTCATGGCTCTCCACATGGCACACCAGCCTTCATGCATTTTCACAATCTCAGTGGAGGGGGTCTCTAGATCATGTCTCTGGATCATGCCTTCAATGGCGTGTGTACAGATTGCCATGAGCAGCCTCCATGCAGTGCCAGCATCACATGGTGTAGCCAAAGGTCACGGCAGCATAAGTATCCAGTAGTGTAATTGAGAGGCTGTCTACCAGGACTGTGAAATAGTTACACGGAGCAGAGAAGTCCATGTGAGCCATGCAGCACAAGCTCTGCATCATCAACTGAACTAGTTCCTCCAACGTTCTTCCACAAGGAAGCCCTATGGAACCTTTGGATTGGGCTGACTCAGCAAGATCTGCCATAAGCAGGAGAATAGAAGGAAGAACAGGTACAGGTGCATTGAACAGATGACCTGACCATAAGCCTTGTACTTTATGCACATGCAAAAGCCTGCCTGCATACCTAAAGTAACCAAACCAAGGCCAAAACCCCAGATACATGCTAACTTTATCTATCTATCTATCTATCTATCTATCTATCTATCTATCTATCTATCTATCTATCTATCTATCTATCTATCTATCTATCTTACAGTCTGGTTTCTAATTATCAAATACAGATAGACAAAACTGCAAATAATGAAGCTGTGAATAGGAGACAACCTGTATTCAGAATGAAAATACTTTTTTCTAAGCAAATACTCACTAGTTACCATTCTCATTCATTCTTGGGTACCTGAATGGCCCAGTCACCTTTTCCATATTTTTTCATCTCATTCCCACATATTCATGTCCCCTAATGGAATACATCTTTTTCTCCAGATTATATTCATTCACAATTTTGAACAATTTTTCCAAAAATTCATCCCTGGAATGTTTCTATTATCAACAGCCACTAGAGTAGGACATGCAATTATCACCAACCAATAAATTCCTATTTTCATATGGACCCACAGCAACAAATTCATACTTTCTCACTACATTTTAGCCCTTTTATTCATAAGTAAACCTACACCTTCACTTTCTCATATGTATTCATCAACTCTTCTCTACAAAATTCTTCATCTTCATTCAGATCTATTATATCCTTCCCTTTTCTCTTAATTGCATATAGACACAGAACATAACTATTTTTCTTTCCTTTCATATTCATGCTCTCTACCATTCACTCCTCTTACATTCCAAGTCATAATCTTCTATTAGCCAAGGGCAGTACACAGGGACCTCTACCACATATCCTGGCTTTGCCAAATCAAGGTTTTCATATACAGGTAATCCTCAACCTACAACCATTCATTCAGCAACCATTCGAAACTACGATGGTGCTGACTGAATGGTGGCTATGACTGGTGCTTGGAGTTCCAGCCACCCCAGCATTCCTGTGGTCATGTGATCGTGATCAGGGCACTTGGCAACTGACTCGCACTTATGACCAGTTGCAGCACCCCACAATCACATGATCACCATTTGCAACCTTCTCTGCCAGCTTCCCCAGAAAATCAAATTGCTGGGGTAAGTCTCCCCCACCTGTGCAGCCTCCCCCAGCCCTTCTGAGCTTGTGCCACGCCGGGCACTCTTGCACCCCCATGCAACCTCACTGAGCCTCGCTGCACCTCCCTTGCACCTTCACCCCCTTGTGCACCCCCTTGTGTACCCCGACTCAGCAGCAGCCACTTACCTGCCTTCCAGCCTGCTTGCAAGCTGCCTGGGACTACCTGCCGGCTTCCCCCACTGACTTGGTTGTGGGAAACCGGCAGGAAATTGCCTTGCCTAATGACTGTGGGATTTGGTTAATGACAAATCTGCTTAGTGATGGAAATTCCAGTCCCAATTGCTGTTGTAAGTCGAGGACTACCTGTAAAGTTTTTTAGTAAGATAGAGGAGTTATAGACTAGGTTACTCAGCCCCACATGCAGCATTCCTTGCTAATGATAAAGACAGTACTGGTCAGTTTTTCTGCTTTTTTGGCCAGCATGTCGCAAGCACAACCAAAGCCAATTTTCATGCTATTCTGTGCAAGCTAGAGCCTCTAACCTAGAAATTACCTTGCAAGTCAACATACTGTCACCCACATCCTGCCAACTCCTGACATATATCCAAGAGCATTAACTCAACATTTGCTATAACTTATAGTCAAATTTTAAAGCAACACTTATTTTATTTCCATGTGCAGTATAGCAAACGTCAGCCAGAATGCTTATGTTCATTACGACTGACCTTTTTCTCCTTCAGCAAAGAAAAACTCAAAAGCAATTAACGTTTTGAGTTATAAAAAGGATAAAAATCACATAATTATGTTTAAAACTGACAATGGAAAAAGGAAGCCTACCCAATATGATGATAATTGTGATCTATTGTAATTCAATTGTGTGTATGTGAATGTGTATATTAAAGAAATATACGCATATTAAAGAAAAAGCTCTGGCCAGAAAGCATGGATGATTTTGGCACATCCTTCCCCCAACCAGTTCAACTAATTTGCAAAAGCAGAGCAATGGGCTGTCCTGGCTAAAGATAATAGCAGTTGCAATCCATCATATTGGAGCTGGCCAGAGCTGTCAGCATTGTTTGTTTCTTTTAACCTACCTTATATCTTCAATAAGAAGCTGAGAATCGAAGGCAAGATAAAGCTGACAACGTGGCTATGTGTATGGGTGTCTACAAAACTGGTTTCAAAAATCATCAGCTATCCTTTTTCTCAAGTAGTGTTATTTATTAAGCAATATACCTACCTGCTGAAGTGACTGTGATGTGAATGACCGTAACAGTTATGGCATAATCCCAAACCCATTCTTCTACAACCAAGGCAAAGAGCAGGCCAGAGATGAAATAGGCTAATTCCATTGATACTATAAGAACTAGAAACACAGAAATACATTAAAGCAATAAAAGGGATCTTTTGTCCAATGCTTTCTAACTCTACGTCTGCTAAGGTTCCAAATGTCAGATTGCTGTTAAAGATAGGAGCAGACTGGCAATGGTATTTTATCCTCAATCTGTAATGTAGTCCTTGCATGGATGATGGCAGATGGCCAGCACAAAATCCTTCCAGATCAATGTGTATGTTTGTCTTTTTCACAAGCTGTGATATGGATATGTAATTTTAGACTGAATTTAGTGATTTTACCCCCACCTTCTATTTAAATAATAATAATAATAATAATAAATGGTAATGTATATAACTACAACTACTGCTGTTTTGGGGCTTTCAGTACAATCTGGACCTCTGCCCTAAGGTCTTTCTCCAGTGGCACCAATTTTTAAAAGTAGGATATTAACTACCGTATGTCACTGATTAATGGATATATGGGGGATCCATGGAAGTGATATATTTATGGTATGTCAGGACATTCCATCATGCCACATGTTCACAAAGCTGCCTTTTCTACTGATATATCTCTTCCCACCCCCCACCCCCCCAAACTATTCCTACTATCTGGGAGAATAGCAGGTAGGGTCTGCTTCATTTTTAAACCAAATATTTCAAAAGTTATATTTTTTAAGCAAGGAGATATGATATGGAATGAGACAATTCTGTCCCAGCATCATCTACTGAACTGTGTCTGGACCAATGTGTGCACTAGAAAGTATACATCAAAAAGCTACATAGCTGACAGTATAGGAACAAATTCTTGCCTATAGATTTCATCACAGCATTTACCACAACATTATTAACTTTCAAAATAGTTATTTTTTTATAAAGGTAGAAAAATGTCATAATTTTTACTCTTCCTGCTACCCTTCCCCAAAGTATTTAATGTAGTCCTCTTTCTATCATGATCACAATTCTATTACCCACTAAAGTAGTTTAAGGGCATATTGTTACTTAGACTAACTTGAAGAAAATTAACTTAAAAGTGTACGGATTTAAATATTGCCTTGAGTGGTTGGTTCTCTGTGGAGACATGAAACAATCCATCTTATTCTCCAAAAAGCTGATCTTTCATCATCCAGAATCAATACCAGTATCCATTTTACTTCAAGAATGTAAAAGCAGGTTTTCTGAAGTTCAAGAGCAACCCTAGTTTTTTAATATCCATTTAATCATAGCTGTTCTCAGTGAGCAGGAAGTTCTATAGAAAGAAGGGCAATATTATTTTCATTTGTGTAGGATGCTAAGAATTGTATCTCTAATTTATTCTTCTGACTTTCAACAGCTGTTCTGCTCATTACTCTAATTACTCTACTGCAGTCCCATAGATAAGCCCAGGGGTTCACACATCTGCAACCACAGCACCTTTGAGGCCAGGAGAAAGGAAGAAGTAGAGAGTGCAATATTCCAACTAATCATTTGCTCCTTTAATTTCCAAGATTTGGGCGGGGGGGGGGGGGGGTAAGAAAAAGGAAGAGAACTCTCCTGGCCAATCCCCAAATGCCACTATTTTTTTTAATCCAGAAAAACAAACAAATGCTGTTCCACTTCACTGAATTAAAAAAAAAAATCAGTTACCAACTAGTAACATCTAAAGGAATCATCAGAGAGAGAGAGAAAGAGAGAGAAGCAGAATGTAAGGCCAAATTAATTTTAGAATTAATGGCTCCTCCTAAAAACACATCCTTGAATGAGATCTTGATATCTTTGCTCCATTTCATTGTCATGGTGTACATTTTACTGAGGACGTCACAGTGATAATAGCAGGAAGAGATATGAGACCTTATTTAAATCAGTAAAAATCTTGAAGAGCTTAAAATCACGAGAGTTTGAAATTCAAAAATCTTATGGCATTCTTTGCTTCTGATCACTCTGACACCTACAGCAAATTGGTTTTGTTCTATAGTTATGAAAGGCAGGAAAACAGCTTTTTGAAACTATTATTAAATCAAAACTGAATTTCTCATAGATTGTCTATAATCACCATTTCCCTAACATAGTTGTCAAGTCTCTTTGCATTCTAACCAGATTAGAAAAACTCAAGTTAGTTGACAGATATAATTAAAAATCTATAATTTAAATGTTGGTTTACAAGTCTGGAATCTGGAATTTTGGCACAAATACTAGAAGGCAATCTTATACACTGGAAATGTAAAGGCTGATAAGGCAGGAACCAGCAGTTCCCAGGCACTTGTTATGTAAATTAATCTTAGCTGCTTCCCAAGGCTACTCTAGAGAGTGGCCAAGTATCTGTTCACTCAGAAAACTGTGAGGAAACAGCCGTGAGTTTAAGTTCTGGAGTACTGACATGACTTCTTTGCACCACAATGGGCAATGAATTGTGTTAAGGCTTCCCTCTTGTCTGCAGTAAAGATTTTAATCTACCCAAGTCATGTCTGAGAGTCTTCTGTCAAGTCAAACCAGGAACTTTATTTGGTGTTAAGTGTCAGAAAAGCTGTGATTTACTGCCCAGCCCTGATGTAAGGCCTGACAGGAAAAGTATAAATTGTTGCAGATTGTACAGTAGCTAAGAAAGGATCCATACTCTGGAATACTCTGAAGAATGCAAAGGTCAGGACTGATGGAGCAGCTATTAGTGTGGGTAATGTGATCTGAAAGACAGTTCACAGATAAATTAGTGGCTGAACAGAATGCAACTGCTCAATAGTGAAAGTTGCATTTACGTGGATGTTGATAGAGCATGTCAGGGCCACAACTGATAACTGCTTTAGCTAATTTTATCATGAAGCACATTGAGGGAAAACTGGTTAGTGATTATCTGTGGAAGCCTGTACCAACGTTAGCATTTTCTATGTGCTGTGAGTTACCACAATGAATGACTTCAGGAGATGCCACTTCAGTTATTCGTCTATTGGGCTAATTACTTTCATTCCCATTAGATAACCCTCTGGTCTTTTTTTGGGTGAAATATAGTTCCCTCAGTGGAATACCCTATTGGCAGTTAGGTATTAATGGAGCAAGTAAATATTTGGGCTGATGCAGACATAACATGAAGCTCCTACATGGTATTGTTGGGATTTTTTTTTTTTTTTGCATAATATGAACCCACTTATCATCATTAGCAGCAGCAGCAGCAGCAGCCAGGCCACTGGGGTTTTTTTATCTGAGGGATAGATGCCAGAGTAGGATGGGGGAAAGTATTTTGAATGCCACACTGATTTCTAGAAGTATCAGGATTCACAGATCAGCTCTATAAATTGATCTCTGATTCCCAAGATCTCCAATGCAGGCTTGTACTTGGCCCTGCAGAAATCAAGCATCCAAAATGTTCCAGCTCCCAGGCTTCAGTTTCTTGGCTGCAAGATTTCTGAGTTTGCTGCTTATAGTACTTTTTTCACCGCAACACGTAAGAAGCCTTTCCTCAAAACAGACTGACATCTGCATTAATAGACAAGAAATAATAATCCTGCTGGATCAGCCCAATAACTAGTCTAGTCCAGCATTCTGTGACACAGTGGTCAACCAGATTTTATTTATTTTATTGGATTTGGACCCGTTGCAATCAAAAGACAGTTGGCGGCTCAAGTATAAGCATAAGAAAACAATATATTGTGTTCACAAACCTGGACATGAAGGCAATAGCCCTCTACCATTGTTGCTTTCTACCATCCAATATTTAAATGTGTATGATTCAGGTGACAGGAAATTGCCATCAAAACTATTAGTCATGGATTCATAGAGGGTCCAACTTTTCATGAATTTGTACAGTCCCCTTTGAATGTGTACGTTGGTAGTCACTGCCAGTCCTAACAATTAGCAAAATCCAGTTTAACTGTGTTTGCAAAGCAGAGTACATTAACTACCAATAGTTTAACCATTCCTTTTATTTTAACAAATGACCTGGAATTCCAACACCATGAGAGATGAAGAAGAACACTCTAGTAACATTTTTCATGTTTTGCCTGATTGTATATGTCTCTATTATGTTTCCTATTGTCTTCACTTCAAGCAAAAGCTCCAATCTCTATAGTTTTTCCTTGCTCTACCACCATCCCACCAATTATTTTGGTTGTCCTTTTTTGCATCTTGCTGGCTCTGCAATATTCTTTTTAAGTAGCCATGTACAGAAGAGGCTTTGGTCCGCCCTCTCCTCAAGAACCCGTCGCTAGACCCCACCCTCCTGGACAATTTTCATCCAGTCTCCCACCTCCCCT